GCTTATTTCCGGGAAATTTTTGATATTATGGAAGGGGTGTCCGAACAGTTTCTGTGCATTGGAAAAACCGGCATTTTATGCGTTTTAATTTTTGAGAAATGCAGTGAAACCTGAATTGATCACGTGAAAGATGGCGTCATCATACTAAAATTTGCTAGCATGACAAATTTCTTCTTGATTGTTCTGGGTGAACAAAAGTTGGTGAGGATTTTTCAATCAATTGCCTGCTTGCATCATTCTGATGTTAACTGAAGAAACTTTGGTCAAATGGAATATAATTTTTCAATGCTTACCAACTTTTTGGACACCCTTTGTATTACCCAATGGCTGTTTTGCTCTGGAAATTGTCACACTTTGTCTCTCCTGAGAAATTCCTGCTTTAAAGAACCCTTTTGTTGACTGACCAAGTTTTATGGAACTTGAAAAGAAGCTATTATTTTATGCAAAATAAAAATGGACACAAGGTTTTTAATTGAGCATGCAAAACCTTGTCTTTGTGACATTTGATGCCTCTGGACATAGCAAAACATCCTGAGAATTTGTTTTTGAGTTGGGTCTTGAACTGCATCAAAATGATGCTTGCTTTTATGAACACTTTCATTTGAGGGATATGATGTAACGCATTTTAAAACATTTGGATTTCATTTCAACATTTTGAGTTTTCATTATACAGGCTCATTAATGCTGCCATGTATGTTGCAAAGCACTGGTTTCATTTCAAGAATGACTTGCAGCAGTTGGAGATTGTGAAAGTTAAATTCATAAGTAGGTTGGATATTTGCTGAAACTTGGGTGCTTTTTTTCAATGTGCTTAGGATAAGTGCCATTTTAGGAGTGTTTTGTTGGCAGTGTCAGTTTGATCAATGCTTGCATTCCGACCATGGCGCTGATTTTCTTTTGTGCATTGTGTCTTGAAAATTGGGCATGGGTGAGAGCAAAGATACATGTGACTTCTGCAATTTTCTGTGGGTTTTCTTTCCTCTGCCTTTTTTTTTTTTCTTCTAGTGATCATGAGCATTCTAATTCTTGAAGAAGATCCTTGACATGAATATGGGATCTCAACTGGAGGAGGAAAAAGTTCAGTCCTTTCAATGGGGAAACTGAACTGTGCAGTAAAGGGTATGAAGAGATATTTTATATTTTGTGCTGTTATAGTAATAGACAATTACTTTCATAATATGCCGGAAAAACGTAAAGCTGAAAATAATTCATGGTGGTGGATTCCTGAGGAAACCAAGAATATTCACCAATAGCCTCACAACGTTTGATGGGCATTTTTTAATAATCATATGGGAAGAACACAATTTATAAATGTCAAGGTTTAATAATCAAGCTCCTTCTTGCGAAAATGAGTTGCTCCATACGTTGGAGAAGTCATTTGTGAATTTTCAGTAAGATCAGGTCATTTTTGAACTTTGAAGCAGAGGCTCATGAAAATAATTCACGGGTCTCTGGTGATGAGAGTTTGTTGTAAAAGAAATATTAATGACTATATGCTGCAAATTATCTACATAGATTATTTATTCAATTAATTGCTCATCCTAGGATTTACGACAATGGACAGCCCATGAACGCGTGAGGTGACTCATACTAAGGTACCAATGAAATACTGTACTGAAACCACAGTTGTGTATGGTAGAAACGTGAGCTCACTGAGTATTGTAGATGGCCGCTCCCAGTGATCCTCTCATGGTGAGGCCCCATCTCGCCGGAGCAGAACTCTTGGTCGTCCAAACTCTTTGCCACTGCGTCCCCCATCCCCTCACGCCCTGCACCCAACACTCTCTCTCCTGTGGTTGCGCATGAGTGACTTCAAGAATTGGGAATAAATCCCTTATGCAGGAAGTGGTGTAGCAGGTGACTTGATGTGAGAAAAAATGATTTCTCCACATATAACACGTTAGGATCGTTTATTAGGTCCATATACGTTCGTAATGTTCGTCCGTACTCTCATGTGGACAAAAGTTGGTTATTGTATACGTCAAACGGACAATGTTTAAAAATAAACACAGTTCAAAGGACAGATTTATTCTTAAATTATAACTGCTCCAGTTGGCTAATAAAAAAAAATTAAGTGTCCCCGGATAATAAACGGACCACTCGGGTATTACGACGTCGTAGTAATCGTGGACTAAATTAGACCGGAACGGAGTTCCATGAATATACTACACCTACATGAATAAGTTTACAAATTGTCAAACAGTCCTCACAACCAGTCAAGTTGAGCTCCATCTGCATCAACTTTTCAAACCACAGTTCAGGAAGGTTTGCACTTTTAAATCTGATCAGTGTAGAAGCTAGAGGATAAAACTTTGTAACACTTGAATGACAAAAAAGTGGACTCCTGTATACTTTGAAGAAGTTGTCCTGTGACACCCTTTATTCCAGTGTGAACATCCTTACTAGACCTGGTATCACTATAGTCCTGTGACACCACCCAGTGCACTGTAAACTCAAATCCTCAAGTCTGTCACTAGTGCGCGTAAAGAAGAGAGTGATGAGAAGAGGGAGTGAGGGTATGGGGGGTGCAGTGGCCTAGAGTTTTGCTGACCAAGAGTTCTGCTCCAGCAAGAAACTACACCACCGAGAACTGTAGGAAAGCAAAGTACACAGCAAAGTGCACTGGAGGGCAGCAGGAGTAAAAAATGGCCACACGCATGGGAAGGATAGTGAAGTACAGTCAACCCCCGTTAAACCGCCAACGTTTGTGCAGCAGAATTTTGGCAGTTTAACGGGGTTGGCAATTTATCAAGGGAAGGATGAACCAGATAAAAAAAAGGTTCTACCCCTGCCACCTCTGCTTCAACCTAGCTGATGCAAATTTTTTTCTCTGCTTTCTGGGGAAATTTTTTTTTATTACAAACATCTCAAAATTGGGTAAACCAATTAAATTTATAATCATGCCTCAAGAGAAAATTATTCAACCTTGATTAGGCTGGATTAATTTTGGGTTGGTCAGACTCATTTAGAAGAGGTTAACTTAGAATATAGGTTGAAAAGTTCATCAATACTGTATTTTGCAAAATGTTCCACAAAATCATTCCATGCAAAAAAAATATTTGGAAATTTATCTAAGATATCCCAAAAATGGAAAAATGAGAAATGTCAAAATATTGAGTTGTAGGATAGCATGGGACTGAAGCTAACAGGAATGGTTTTTGGTGGAAACTGGAGCATAGAATTGATCTGCTATGTCTCAATGGCAAAATTCATAAAGGGAAAGCCATCAAATTTAAACATTGAAACCACAATAACAGTTGTATTCCGATGTGATAATTCACCTACTTCATCACTGCTGTGTGATTTATGCTTGAAAATCACTTGATCTGGTTTTTCTTACCCTGCCATCTTGGATTAGATCATGTGCTCAAATTTTACAACAGAAAGTTCCTGCAAGTTTTTGACTCATGTTCTCTTGACCATCAATATTTTTTCCTTCATTGTTTGATTTTAAAGATACCTGAAGAAATTTGTTTGTCAAGTTTTCTGAGAAATGCAGTCAAAAAATCCACTAATTCATTTAATCCAAGTTAATTTAAAACAACCTAAAAAATGCATTAAAAATTTTTGGAAATACAGAAGAAACCTATCTTGGTAGTTTTTCTATGTAAAGAAGCACAGAGTTTAGTGGATAGATTTCCCCAAGAATCAAAGAATACAGTTTTGCTTGGAGTGGAGATTTCTGCATGAGGGATAATGGTTTGCTCTATATTTTCACATAACAGTTGC